AGAATAGAACAGAATAGAATTAAGGAATAGAATAGAATAGAATAGAATAGAATAGAATAGAATAGAATAGAATAGAATAGAATAGAATAGAATATGGAATGGAATGGAACGGAACGGAACGGAACAGAACAGAACAGAATAGAATAGAAAATAGAATACAATAGCCTTTCCTATGTTGTGATTGAGACGGGGGGGGGGGGCGATGACAACTTCCTCATTGGCTCCAGGGGGCGATTCATTCAAAAAGGTTAAGAACCACTGGACTAGATGACCTCCAAGGTCCCTCCCAACTCGGCTATTCTATTCTGTTCTAAACTCCAAAGCTACAACTCTGGAAAAAAATAATCCCATAATGCAAGAGAGAGCGAGGCAGCTGCAAAGACACCCCCTCCCCAACTCTGCCCCCCCCCAGAATTGCAGCACATTGCTCAGCGCCTGCCTGGGGTCCCTGTGGCTAGGAAAACTTCATCTCAATTAAACTGCGGTATTTCTAAGCCTTCGGCAACTAATTTAGCGGAAAAGCTGCTGATTTTGCAACCCCGCACCCGCTGTTCCCTGGGAATAGCTGAAAAACACTTGTTTGACCTAGGATGCTCCAGCTGGTCCTTTCCCACCTGTCAAAAGACCTGGGTCAGAATCTGGGTCAGTCCCAGTCACGCCCCAAAGTACCAAGCTTGGGGAGAAGACTTAAAATAAATCCTTTTTTTGTGTTTCTTTTTCGGTATGTATTTTTCTTCATTTCCAAGGTTAAAATGCAGAATTAAAATTGAAATTAAAACCTTAATGAATTTCGGGACTTGCAAACCGGTTCTCTGGATGGGTCTATATACGGTTACGAGGAGCAGAACATGACTTTAAAAAGACTTTATATTTTAAGTATTTATTACGTTTATTTACCCCGCCGTCGCATCGAAGAATGTAATAAATGTGATTTATTTACCAGGAGTCTGGTGGCACTTTTTCCATCACGCCCATGTTCAATTTCTTAAATAAATAAAGCAATCTGCTTCCAATAACATCTGATTCAAACCCTTTAAGGCTCAAACTGGTTTGATTCAGATTGTTCCGGGATGAAAAACGTGGCAATTATCAGAATGAGAAGAGCTGGAAGGGACCTTGGAGGTCTTCTAGTCCAACCCCCTACTCAAGCAGGACACTTTATACCATTTCAGACACCACCTTGTTTATAAAAAACAAGGTGGGATGGAAAAGAATATTTTTAAAAAGCTGGCTGCGCTAAACAATTTTTTTACATTTCTTTACTAAATTTCTGAAAGTAGAAAAATTCACCGGTTTACAGATAGTCCTCAACTTATGACAATTGAGTCCAAAATTTCTGTTGTTAAGTGGGACATTTGTTAAGTGAGTTACTGCAGTTGATAAGTTAGTAACTTATCAATCTGGCTTCCGAAGGTCGTAAATACGAGTCAGTTGCCAGTTTTGATCACGTGATCATGGGGATGCTGCATTGGTCGTAAGTGTGAAAAACGGTCCTAAGTCACATTTTTCAGTAGTGTTATAACTTTGAATGGCCACTAAACAAACTATTGTAAGTTGAGGACTAAATGTATAATGTCTCCATTGTTGACGAAACATTATTGTTAATCGGTCAGTTTGTAATCCTAGCTTTCCATCCTGCAGTAAAATTAAAAAGTGATTTTTTTTCCACTGGGACACGAGAATAAGTTTCCAAAAGGATGGATAACTTTTACAAAGTGTGGATCTTATACTGTTTGGAAGTGGGTTTTGTCCCTCACAAAACAGAGGTGAAACAGACATACTCCTGTTAAGAAAACAGAAGCTAAACAGGAGATGGTTTTGCCTGAATCTGCATAAAACACCGCTTGGCGTGGAGATAAATGAAGATTAACCTCTTATTTTAAATCTCTGAAATATTTTTTTAAAAAAAATATTTTATTGGTTTTTTACAATAACAATCTCCAGGGCCTGGTGTACAGCGTGTTGTCTTGGTTTATATGTCTGGGGAAAAAAGCAATAATAATTAATTAACAGTCCATAATGATTAATTTTGATAATTCCATAATTAGTGTATTAATTAATATAGGTAGGCGTGAGCTTGAATGGACTCCAGAAGGACAGGAAGGCCTGGAGGAACGTTGTCCATGGGGTCGCGATGGGTCGGACACGACTTCGCAACTAACAACAACAACAAATATTGCTTCGATCTTCCCTTCTCCCAATTGTATTCTCCTTCTTCAGCCTTAAACAAATATAATTCTTAATATTTTCAACTAGCTGTACCCGGCCACGCGTTGCTGTGGCTCAGTCTGGTTAAATGGAAAAGCATGTTTTTACCTGTCACAGGTGTGACATCTATATAACAGTAGGTATATAAAAACACGCGTGTATTCGAATGCAACATTGTGTCAAAATTTCAAAGCAATCGGTGAAGAACTTTCGGAGATTTCAGATTTTGAACAAGCGAACATTTACATTTTTATTTATATAGATGTAAAATGATTAAAAATAGACATTTTTTTCATATTTATACAGATAACAACAACATCTACGTATAACGTTTTTTTTTTAATCAGCTTACATTATTCTTATAAAAATCATCTCATTCATTTTGTCCCTCACAAAATAAGAGGTGAAACAGACATACTTCTGTGAAGAAAACAGAACCGAATCAGGAGACGATTTTTGCCTGAATCTGCATAAAACGCCGCTTGGCGGCGGGGATAAATGAAAATGGAACTCTTATTTTAAATCTCAAAAGCATTTATTCAACAGTTTAAACGTGACCACGGGATCTTGTCCGAGCTTTGGCAAATGAGAGTACATCAAGCACAAATGTGATTTTTAAAAGCCACGCAAGCTTTCGTTGGCCGTGTCTGAGGATACAGACGTTCCCGCTGGAATGGAAACTGAACTAATCCTATATATATATATATAGGACTGGCACGTAACTAATCCTATATATATATATATTTAGGACTGGCACGTAACCCTGACGATGTCGGAAGGATTCCGACGAAAGCTTGGTGTGTATATGTTTTGTGTTATTAAACTTTTTTAGCTTGATATACTCCTGGTGCTCACAGCTTGTTTTTTGAAGATATATATATATTTATATAATTTTAATTATTATTATTTTTTTTTGCTCTAATAGATTTCTCAGGGAGCCAGACAATTGTTCCCAAGCTTGGACAAATCCCAACAGGACCGGGAGGTCAACGCTAGCCGAGATTGTCGCTATCCGCCGCTCTCTCCGGACATCCCCTTCAGCCAATTAGAGGCTGGCTCGCCGTTGGCTGCCTAGGCGCTCAGGGCCATGCGCTCGTAGCTATTCCTCAGGTGGGCAGACATCAAGGGTCTTGGGNAGCCAGACAATTGTTCCCAAGCTTGGACAAATCCCAACAGGACCGGGAGGTCAACGCTAGCCGAGATTGTCGCTATCCGCCGCTCTCTCCGGACATCCCCTTCAGCCAATTAGAGGCTGGCTCGCCGTTGGCTGCCTAGGCGCTCAGGGCCATGCGCTCGTAGCTATTCCTCAGGTGGGCAGACATCAAGGGTCTTGGGTTTAGCCACCCGGCTGGACCCCATGCATGATTTATGCTGCGGCTTTCCGCCCGAAGAAGTAGCTGTCACTCACCTCGGAGCATTAAAGATTGTGCATAACTTGATCAGATGGAGCAGTCAAGATGGTTTTGCCAACTTAGACATCTCACTAAGGGCGGGAAGGCGCCTGGTCCCCTTCGGCTGGGGCCGAAGACACCGGATCTCCGGCTTCTGCGATGGACAATTTGGGGTGCACCCAAAATGAGGAGGTCCTGGGGCCAGGTTGGCCCACTGACCCCGTTCCTCTGTTCTTTGGATTGGAATTTTTGCTGGTGTTGGGGATGATGGGAGTCATGCTCTCCTGTTTTCTTCCAACTTGGCCTTTGTCAGAAGTGAGCGTTGGAGTTGAATGGCTTCTCCAACTTGCTGCCTTATCTTAGGGTGGGACTACAAGGTCCCTCCTCCCCAGCCAAGACAGGCAGGAAGTATTTGGGCCGGAGCTTATGGGAGTTGGTGTCCTGTCTCAATCCTATCAAGCTCGGCCAGGGTTTTCCTAATCTGCCCAGGTCCAGTTCTTGTGGTTGGGGATGATGGAAGCCTGGTCCAGCACCCTTCCGTTCCCTTGGCTCCTTGGGGCCAGCTGAGAGAACAGCTCCCTCCAATGGGGCTGGGGAGGATGGGTGCTGAATGCAACAGCACCATGGAACCTCCCAAGAGCATAACCACTCCTCTTGTGGATGGGGATGATGGGGGTCCCAATGCTCCCTCTCTCCTACTGGCTTATGGGGACAGCAACATCTTATCCTCGGGATGCTGGCAATGCAGCACCCAGCAGCTGGAGTGATGGGCCAGCAGCTGGGGATGATGGGCCCTTGCCCTGCATGAGGTTGTGTGACACTCCCAGATCTGGCTGGGGATGATGGAGCCTTTGCCCTGCATGGGGCTGTCTGTCAACCCAATTCTGGCTGGGAATGATGGTCCCCTTGCCCTGCATGAGGTGGTGTGATGCTCCCAGCTCCGGCTGGGGATGATGGTCCCTTTGCCCTGCATGGGGCTCTCCGACAGCCCAGTTCTGGCTGAGGATGATGGTCCCCTTACCCTGCATGAGGTGGTGTGACACTCCCATCTCCAGCTGAGGATGATGGTCCCTTTGCCCTGTATGGAGCTGTCCGACAGCCGTTCTGGCTGGGGATGATGGTCCCCTTGCCCTGCATGAGGATGTGTGACACTCTCAGCTTTGGCTGGGGATGATGGTCCCTTTCCCCTGCATGGGGTTGTCCGATAGCCCAGTTCTGGGTGGGGATGATGGTCCCCTTGCCCTGCATGAGGATGTGTGACACTCCCAGCTCTGGCTGGGGATGATGGTCCCTTTCCCCTGCATGGGGCTGACAGCCCAGCTCCGGCTGGGGATGATGACCCTTTGCTCTGCATGGGGCTGTCCGACAGTCCAGTTCTGCTGGGGATGATGGTCCCCTTACCCTGCATGAGGATGTGTGACACTCCCAGCTCTGGCTGGGGATGATGGTCCCCTTGCCCTGCATGGGGCTGTCCGACAGCCCAGTTCTGCTGGGGATGATGGTCCCCTTGCCCTGTATGGGGCTGTCCGACAGTCCAGTTCTGCTGGGGATGATGGTCCCCTTACCCTGCATGAGGATGTGTGACACTCCCAGCTCTGGCTGGGGATGATGGTCCCCTTGCCCTGCATGGGGCTGTCCGACAGTCCAGTTCTGCTGGGGATGATGGTCCCCTTACCCTGCATGAGGATGTGTGACACTCCCAGCTCTGGCTGGGGATGATGGTCCTTTTGCCCTGCATGGGGCTGTCCGACAGTCCAGTTCTGCTGGGGATGATGGTCCCCTTGCCCTGCATGGGGCTGTCCGACAGCCCAGCTCTGGCTGGGGATGATGGTCCCCTTGCCCTGCATGAGGATGTGTGACACTCCCAGCTCTGGCTGGGGATGATGGTCCCTTTGCCCTGCATGGGGCTGTCCGACAGTCCAGTTCTGCTGGGGATGATGGTCCCCTTGCCCTGTATGGGGCTGTCCGACAGTCCAGTTCTG